CTGACGCAGAAGGGTCGGGAGCCTTTCATCCGCATGCAGCTCTGGCTGACAGACCAGCTGGGCCAGGGGATCAGCCAGCAGCCCACACCCTCCCAGGGTAAGTGACATCACTGTCCCCATGGTACCCATGTGCCATCAGTGTCCCCACCACTTCTGTGTCCATTCCCTGCATCCCAGTGGGTTTGTCCTGCTCCCACCCCAGGACTGGGAAGAGATGTCTCTGCCAACTCCAACACCAGCACGCAGATCCTGGGAAGCCGCTTTCATCCCCAACCTGCTTCATTTAAAACAAAAATAAAAAGAAAGCCACATCAAAAATCTTGGGCTTTGCGCCTAGCATAAAGCAATAACTGGATTTTTTGTATCATATTGGTGGCATTTTCTTGCTCTAATTATTCCTCCACCGCCACCTCCCGCTTTGCCATAGCCACTGGAGAAGCTTGGCTTCTCTCTTGGGGTTCCTCTTCTCTAGCATAGGCATCCCCCAAATTCCCCTCCTGCTCCAGCTGGCTCCCTGCACTGTCCCCTCCCGCTGACCCCTCTGCCCTGGTGTCACACAGCCAGCCCTGCGGAACCCCAGCCGTCCCCCTCGCCGCCCCCCAGCCCCGCTGAGCACGAGAAGGGCTGCCAGGAGCCCCTCACCCTGGCCTTGGAGAGCAGCAAGGAGAACCAGCAGCCCGAGAGCCGCTCGGTGCCTGCGCTGGGCGGGAAGACATATCCCAACAGCCAGGGGCCTGTGGGCATCCAGGAGATCGTGGCCATGTCCCCCGAGCTGGACACCTACTCCATCACCAAGAAGGTCAAGGAGGTCTTGACGGACAACAACTTAGGTGCGGACCCTCTCTCTGCCCAGGTTTTTTGGGAGCTGCTGGTGAGACTGCATGGATCCAGCACCCCAATTCCTGTAGATGCGACCCCCTCCCAGATGTTTTTCTGTGGGTGCTCGTGGGAATTCCAGGAGGATGCTGGCTGGGAAACGGGGTGCACCTGCTTTGCAGGGGGACTGCGGCGCCCGTCCCGCTGCTCCACCCCCTCAAACCACCTCTGCTTCTCCTCCCCCAGGCCAGCGGCTGTTTGGGGAGAGCATCCTGGGCCTGACGCAGGGCTCGGTGTCCGATCTCCTCTCCAGGCCCAAGCCGTGGCACAAGCTGAGCCTGAAGGGGAGGGAGCCCTTCGTCCGGATGCAGCTCTGGCTCAACGACCCCCACAACGTGGAGAAGCTGCGTGACATGAAGAAGCTGGAGAAGAAGGGTGAGGGACAGGGTGGCACGGCCCTGCTGGGTGTGGGCTGCTGGCCAAGGGGGGTCCCGGGCCGGGGGGTGAGCGGTGCCAGCTGGGTGTCCTCTCCTGCAGCCTACCTGAAGCGCCGCTACGGGCTGATGAGCACCGGCTCGGACAGCGAGTCCCCCAGCGCCCGCTCCGAGTGCGCCAGCCCCAGTGCGCCGCCGCAGGACCTCAGCCTGCTCCAGATCAAGAAGCCGCGGGTGGTGCTGGCACCAGAGGAGAAGGAAGCCCTAAAGAAAGCCTACCAGCTGGAGCCATACCCCTCCCAGCAGACCATCGAGCTGCTCTCCTTCCAGCTCAACCTCAAGACCAACACCGTCATCAACTGGTTCCACAACTACAGGTACGGGCGCTCCCGGGCTTTGGGGGTCTGATGGTGCTGAGCCACAGAGGGGGTGGCACAGTTCCCCTTCCAGCCTTCCCCGTCACTCTTCCCTAGATGGGAGGTGCAGACCCATTGGAGGTCCCCAGGTGCACCCCAGGCCAGTGGGTGGCCTTGGCTACCTTGCCCAAGTTGTGTTGAGCATCTAAAGAGGTTTCCATGCTCACATCCACCTCCT